GCAGGCTGTCCCTGTGCTTCCACTGGGTCCCCTCTTTGCCCAGCCCAGTAGTGCAGACAGGAGTTACTCGTGCTTCCCCCACCCTCGCAGGCAAAAGGGTGGAAAGATACACGCAGAACAACAGAAAAACAGCTTGAAACTCCAAAGGGCACCTCGGTTAAGGGCCAGAGCTGGCCGCCCTGCTGTGCTCCAGGAGAACCAGGAGCGACCTGCTACACAAGCCCATCCTCCTCTGCCCGCCCGCCCCATGATCCCTGGGGCAGCATCCCTGCTGCACAGCTCCAGAGCTTGGCAGGGCAAGCCCAAGTTTCCCTAACTCCCACCCCTACTAGCAAGGTCAAATTCACCTTGCTTGCCTCCTTTAAAAAGTTCACCAGTGCAAGACTGAGGCTTTTCCTGAAATCGGAGCCCTGGCAGCTAAGGCGCAGTTAAAGACTGTTTGTGTTTCCAGGCGCTGGGGCCAGCATGGGTTAACAGGCCCTTTCCCGTGTAAGACCCAGCAACCTCTCATCAATTCTTCCATCGACCTCTCTCCATCGTGCGTGGTCTGCGAGGCTGGAGGCCCTGGCTGCCCTTCCTCCCGGCTGATCCCCAAGCGTGGTCCACTCACAGCCCAGCAGTGAAGGCCTCCCAGAGCGGGTGTCTGCCACACCACTGGCTGGCTCTCCTGGCCCCCCCCCAAAACACTGAAGAGCCTGGGCAGCCTGGACGTGTCTGCAGGCTGTCCCTGTGCTTCCACTGGGTCCCCTCTTTGCCCAGCCCCAGAGCCTGCCATGCTGTGATCAGCAAATCCCACCAGCACTTCTAGAAGCACGGCAAAGCGTACATTTGTTGTCAGTATGGTTTTATTTACTTTGCAGTGGAATCCGTTAGAGCCAGAAGCATTGTTGGGGCCATGGCTGGCAGGGGTCATGGTGACCAGCCCTGGGTCTGACCGGTGGGCGATTATATTAAAAATAAAACAAAATACCAAGAACGAATCACTTGCCATAGCATGGACATCAGTAATATCTTGGTAATGGAAATTTCATGAAATTTTCCCTTAAATGAGTGCAAAAAATATCCCACCCCCTTATCCCACAAATGCTGGAGAAAAGATGGTCATGTGGCTTGATCTCTCTTTGAACTTGAAATGCTACCACCCTACCTGAAAATTCAACACAATGTATTTAAAAGGCCAGGTAGCCGCAGGTTGTTTGCACCCCGGGATCTGCCCAAGGACGCCCCCCTCCAGATTCCGAAGCTCATTCCCAGGAGGCCAGAGTCCGAGGCCCAAGGGACCCTCCCAGCAGAGGGGCAGGACGTGTGGTGCCAGCACCATTTTCCTGCTGGAGAGCCTTGCACACGCACGCATGCATGCACGTATGTCTGGTGGGATCGCTGAGGATGTGTCTCATGGTTGGTTCTTCTTCGTGGCAGGCGTGGGTGGCATGGAGCAAATTTTGGAGAAGAGGCACAGAGAGGCTCGCCCTCAGCCGAGGACACACAGCTAGGCGGATGTGCGTGTGGAAGGGAGCGCAGGCTTGCCAACTCCAAACCAGGGGAGAGTTCTGGATGCGGAGCATGCTGGCTGTCTCGGTCCATGCTGCTGAAGGCTAGGTTCAGCAGTCTCTTCCCTGAGTGGCAGGTATAGTCCCTGGGACTTAGTGCATCATCCTCGTGACAGCTTTACATGAAAAGTCCCCACCGCAGCTCTGTGAGGCCTGAGTGGGCGTAGTTATTCTCATGTTACAAGTGAGGAAACTGAGGCTGGGAGAGGCAGAAGGCCACATATGGGGGTGGGGAGCGGAGGCAGCAGAGACCAGATCCCCGGCCCTTGGGTGAAGATGCTTCCCTTACACACACTGCTTCTCAGCCCTCAGGGGAGCACGTCCTTAGGCCTCACAAACTTGGGCCGGGGGTGGAAATTAGCTTTTCAGTTTTGGGGCGGTTCCCTCTGAGGCAGGGACGCCCTTCTCGCCAAGGGATGGAGAAGCCCAGCTCAGGCTGATGGTCCTGTCCCCTCCCTTGTGGCCCAACTGGGCAGCCAGCCTTGGCCCCTCCAGCCCAGGCTGCACCCTTGCACGTGTGTGGGTTTTCCCAGGGGATCCCCTTCCTCTTTTCTCCAAGGCAGAGTAGCCCGCAGGGGTGCTTCCTTCTGCTAAGGAAGCTCGAGGTGGAGTCCTGACATCCCCCACCTCCCTGCAGGAGAAGAGGGTGCTGGACAGGAAAAAGGCTTCCACGGGGCACGACCATGGGTAGGTGCCCATCATCCTGGGACAGCCAAACAAACAAGGGGCTCAGAGAGACCTTAACAGAAATCGACCACCTCACAGGTCTATGGTCCTCACCCCATTTCTGGCTGCCACCTCCCCACCTCCATTCCCAGTGACCACCCACCAAAGACCAGAACTGGATGACTGCTGCCAGCCACTGCCCCTCGGCCCACGGGGAGGCCCTTGTTTCAGAACCAGCATCCTGTCCAGCTGCCCTGCCCACTCCTGGCAGGGCTTCAGTCAGGGCTCTTACAGAAAACTCAAAGAACAGGGGGTCAAGGTCTCCTCCTTCCTGAATTTAACAGCCCTCTCCCCCGCTCCCGCCCCCTGACCCTCAGCAACCTGGGAACGACATGGCACTGTCTACCAGCATGCCCAAGCCCAAGGCTGCTGATGGGGCTGTGCCCCTGACTTCGGACCCTCCTCCCCCACAGGGGTGGGCTGGGGCCCTCACGCCCTACCTGGTTTGTGACTTGTGAATTCCGAGTCTTCTGGCTGGGGCTCGAGCTAGAACCTTCTGGAAAAGCACACCGTTCTCCTCGGCACCCCAGTGAGGACACCAGTCTCCCTGCTCCCAGCCCAGATCACTGAGTTCTCGTCCAACCCCCACTCCACCATTTTCCCGGTCTGTGCATCCCCACCCTTGTGAGACCTTCCCAGGCGAGAAGCGTCAAGCCTGCCATGCTGCCCCTCTGATGCCAGTACACCCACATCAAAGGATGGTAGCAGCAGCAAAGGCCCTCTCTTCCCAGAGGTCCTGAACGACACTGCAATGCTGTCAGCACAGACATTAGCAGTGGGGCCGGAGCGCGCGTCAACTTTTAAGTATGCGCACACACGTACGCCAGCCAATAACATTAAGTGTCATTTTAAAAAATGGGTTAAATAAGCAGCATTGCTGAGGATGGCCGTGCAGGGCTGATTAGCCCCTATTTGCACGTTCTGGCGGGGGGAAGGCTAGAAGTCTAATGACTGAATTATCGCCCTAATGCCTTTTGCTGGCTGGGAATAATCCTGGGGCAACAGCTGCCGCAGGGTTTTTGGCTGGTTTCCTCTAATTGCATCCAGATTAAGGGAGTTGTGCACGGGGCGGGGTTTCTCTGTCCCCTCCAGAGCAATGTGTCCTCGGTGGAGCCCCACACACCCACGTCCAGGCTGGCTGGAGGTACAGGGCTCACTGGGGTCCAGGCCAGCCCATAGGGAGTGTGAGGTGGAAACTGACAGGTGAGGGTGGCACTTGGTACGGAGGTGCAGCTGACTGGTCTGGGGCAGGGCTTGGGGAGCCATGGGGGTGAGAAACTGTGGGAGCCAGGAGACTTGGAATGAATGTCTTCCACCCAGGATCCTCCAAAGTGAGTGGATTCCTGGACCTGCTCCCCCAGCCCCTAAGCACAGCAGCCCGAAGGCACAAGGTATCAGGTAAAAGATGGGGATGCTATTCCTGCTGGCAAGGGTGAGGTGAGGGGGACCCTCTTCCTCTGCAGGGGAGGAGTCTTCCAAACCAGTGGGATTGGGACCAAGACTGCTAGGCTGATGGTAGCAGCAGTCCTGGTTCTTCACCCCTCTGAATTCTCAGCCTTCTGCTCTGACCATATAGAGGGGAAACTCAAGGGACAGGTCCATTTCCCCACACCTTAATGCTGAGTCCGGCCATGCGACTTGCTTTGGCCAAGGAGAATAGGGGAGGTGTGGTGTCCGCCAAGGCTTGGAAGGCACTTGCTCATTTCTGCTTTCACCAGAGCTGGCCTGCGGGAGGGACCAAAGCCCATGGAGCAGTGCCAAGTCCTATCTGCACCCTGAGCACCCCCTGGGACATAACAGCCCAGTGGCCCCAGACATGTGAGCAAGCCTAACCTAGATCAGGAGAACTCCACAGACTCCTGCCCTGCAGACTTGTGTGCGAGACAAGTGCTCATTGTTTTAGGCCACCAATTTTTGGGGGCTATTTGTTATGCAGCATTGCTGTGACAATGGATAAGTGATAAACCCATCCATGCAGATGTGCTTTCTAGAGGAGGATCAGGGCAGGGCATGCCTGGTTAGCTCTGTCCACTTCCCTAGTGGGTCAGAAGCCAATGCAGAAAGACAACTCTTCTTTCCCTGAAGCAAAGTGGATGAGAAGTCCACCCACTCCCACTCAGAACCCCCACCCCTGGACTGTAACAGTCAGCACTCCGGGATTGTCTCTCCAAAAGGCTCTGGGACAGAGGGACCTAGAAACTTGGAAGTACCTGTCAGAGGACTCGGACTCAAAGAGAAAAGAGAGACTGAGGGAAGGAGGAGGCAGTTGGCAATCTCCTCTTCCCTGTTGCTCAACATCTTTCTCAAGTGGCACTGATGAGCAGTAACCCCCCACCAGGGAGAAAAATCCAGAGTAAGAAGCCCTCTGTCCCGTCCCCATGAGACTCAGCACATCAAGGATCTTTCTTCCCAGAAGAACGTGCTGGGGAATTCAAGGAGGGACTCAAGTCCCTTTGTTCCCACTTGTTCAAGAAGTAGTTTTCCGGCCAGGTGTGTGGCTCACGCCTATAATCCTAGCATGTTGAGAGGCCAAGGAGAGATGACTACTTGAGCCCAGAAGTTCAAGACCAGCCTGGGTAACATAGCAAGACTTTGTCTCTACAAAAAAATTTTTTTTAATTAGCCAGGCATGGTGGTGCATGGCTACCAATGTCAGCTACTTGGGAGGCTGAGGTGGAAGGATCGCCCGAGCCCAGGAAGTCGAGGCTGTGATGAGCTGGGATTATGCCACTGCACTCCAGCCTGGGTGACAGAGCAAGACCCTGACTCAAAAAAACAAAATAGCTTGCCGTGCAAATTGCTTGATACTTTAGAGTTGGTTGGGAGCTCTCATATCATAGATTGTATGCCCTTGTCTGTCCACCTCTAAACCCCAGAGGGAGTGACTGATACACAGTCTTTTGGAAGAGGAAGAGACTTTTGGAAGAATGTGTTGGAAGACCTCACTCCCACATGGAAAACAGAGAGCCCTGAGAGCTGGCTATGCTTCTATGGTTGCTCTTGTGTCCAACCCCCTGAGAAGCAGACTTATGGAAGATCCATGTTCACAGTAGACTGCAAGTCCTGTGGGGAAGAGGAAGAGCCTTACTATTTTCAGGTGCCTGGTCTTGGTTGGTTAGTTAATATACTACCCCTTCTCTGGGACAAAGCAGCTTCTCTTCAGAGGATCTTACACACACACACACACACACACACACACACACTTCGACCCATTCAGCTCCCAGCTGGTTGCTGTATTTCATGGGTGGAGTTGACCTCATGCAGAAGACCCCCAGCTAAGCAAAAGGAATTGATGCGTCTCCAACAGGTTGCAGCTTGGACTCCTGGGCAGGCAGTTCCTTCAAATTCTAGAAGTATGAAATGTTTACATGGACAGTGTCAAAAGCCCCGAGCTTAAGACCTCCACATTCCTACACCTTTCTTCCTGAAATCAGTTGGGCTTTTTTTTTTGGCAGACATCTTCCTATCTGCGTCACTCACAGCTGTGGCTAGGGAAGCCACAGGAAGTGTGTTTGGCTCCCTCAGAGAGAACGGGATCTGATGAGGAAGTATGTCCGGCTCGCAAAGATGTCTCTGGGCTCCCACTCTATTTTGCAGCCCTTGGAGCTGGTGGGTGAACAAGGCCTTCTCCTGTCTCTGCTTTTCTCATTGTCTGGTGATGTCTTCTGGTCACCAATGAAGCGAGAGGAATTTCTGGGCCACGGTGACATCCTTCAGAGGCAGCCAACGAGAACCCAGCAGCCTGTGTCTCAGGTGGAGTGGCGTGCGCATTTCAGGAGCCGACTGTTGGGGGCTGGCAGGTCACTTCTGTCACTTCCGGACTGATTTTGTCATTACTATGAAAAGGTTCCCTTCACATTGCCCAAAGGCATTTTCCTTACGTTTCTACCACCCCCTGTCCCCTCCATGCCCATCCCCACCCCCTCCCATGCCCAGGACCCCTGGCGAGGTCCCCTCAACCCCTGTCCGATGCAGGGAGCCCAACCTATCTGCGGAAGCCAAAGCCTTCCCGAGGCGACTTTGGGCCCCTCTTGCCTTCTCGCAGGGGCTTAGGTGAAGGCATCTCCACCGTGCCCCCGTAGGGACAGCTCTCTGAGCCCGGGTGGTTGCCGGTACACTCCACGGCAGGCATGTAGCCACTGTCCCACATGCCTGTCCCGCACAGCTTACACAGATCATGCAGGCTGCAGGGGATCCGGGGTAGGAGGCGAAACTGATACAGCAGACTCCTCGCCTGCAAAGAGAGAACACAGGTGGTGATGGGGAAGCGGGGACAGCCGGGCGGTCCAAGGTCCCCACAGGAGTGGCCAAAGAGCCACAGCAACAAGGCCAGCACCCATGTGGGTCACTATGTCCCAGGTTCTGCCCACCTATCCCATCAACACCAGCACAGCACAACTCTTGGGCCTAAGTGGCGACAGTGACAGGACCCATGAGACCCATGAGACCCTCAGCCAACACTCACATATGGTTCAGGACGAAGAAGGCTCCCAGACGGCCCTCAGCTGGAGGGTGAGCAGGGCCTGTTGGCTCGGTTCCCCTAACCCCGCAAGGCCCACCTGTCCTCTTTGGCAGGACCCTCTCTCACTCAGCCCCCCGGCACTCTGCTCCAGCCCACAGCCACCTTTCAGGCCCTACAGGGGCACCACTGACCCCTGGGACCCCTCCTCACTGCTCTGATGGACCACCAAGAGCTCTACCAAGTACTGTCTTCAGGAGGAGTCTGGGAAGCAGGGAAGGTGGCAGGACCTCAAGGCCCCCCCGTTATTCTGGTTGTTCTTGGGTGAGAAGCTGCCACCCCTGCCCCCACTCAGTGTCCAGCCTCCTTCTCAGTTTTCTTAGCTCTGAGCTGGAAGGGAGCAGTCCCAGGGTAGGAACCTGTCTGTATCCCTGGGAATTAGTTCACTCTGGCAGGTGAGGGAGGCTCTAGTGTCAGGGGCCTGATCTAGGATGGTGTCCCCAAAGAGCTTGGGGACAGCTGCGTGGCGACACAGCCAAGCTGCAACAGGCGTTGACCCCTGGCCTTGGCAGGGTGGGGTGGGGCCCAAGCAGGTGGAGGGGTTCTGAGACTCAGCAGGTGAGGTGGGGCCTATATGAAGGGGTGCGGCTCTGAGTGCAGGCTGGGGCCACGTCTGGGTGTGGGTCTCTGCAGGAGGGCAGTGCTCACCTTTCTGAGAACGAGCTCCCCGTTCATGTGCATGGCAAGGTTTCCAAAGTGCAGGAGCATCTGGTCAGTGGCCAGCTGCTGCTCGATGACATCATCCCCATAGATGGCCACAATGGCCACGCAGATAAAAAGGTGGAAGTAGTCCGTCTAGGGGAAAGTGGAGTTCAGATAAGGGCCATAACCGAGCCCCAGGCCCCGCCTCAATGGGGAAATTGAGCGCAGAGGCGTGGGTGAGGGCTCCGGGGTGAGGGCTCCAGGGCGAGGCATCTGGGCTCAGAGCCCAGCTTACAGGCCGTGTGGCCCTAGGCCAGCCATTGCAGCCTCTTCAGTCCTCAGCTTCTCCATCTGCAAATGGGGCCAGTCTTCGTACCCACATCCTTAGGCTGCTGTGATATCCAGAAAGGATGATCTGGAGCTGAGCACCCGTGGGCTGCTGGTGCTCTTCTGGGCAGCAATTTGGGTGGTCTTTGTGGGGGTGGGGGTCAAAGAACACCCTTCCTCTGAAGATTGGCCTGCACTTATTCATAAAGGTCTTATTCATAAAGGTCCTGAGAGATGGTGTGTGTGTGTAAGACTGGATCAGAACTCGCTTGAGTGGTTCATGGACTATACCCTAAGAAAGAGCCTCTGGCCACCACCTACTGGCCACCTACTCCCACCTCCTGGCCATGTCCCCACCTCATGCCCTAGAGATGACTGCATGGTTTGCTGCTAGAAAAGCCGCAAGATCCTAAAAGAACGGGGCACAGCAGCTCCCTGGAGGTTCCCGTGGGGTGGCTGAAACGATTCGGCTGTCCTTTGCCCTCTTTCAGGGCAGGCCCATCGAGGTCTCCACTGCCCTCCTTATTCAGGGCCACCTCATGAGGCCAGCCCAGCAATGCCAGAGGACAACAGGAAGCCAGCACTCGGTCCCAATGCATCCTGTGTGTTCTCCTGTCTGAATGCCTCAAGGCAGCAGCCTTTGATGCACACTCACTTCCGGATGCAGAGGAAGGACGGGGAAGTCCGTGTTTAGTCTCCCGATGTCTACCACCCAAACCAGAAGGAACCTCATTCCCAACCCAGACCCAGCAGAGTGCATGATGACGGCAGATACGATGGCTGGCTCCCACGCCCCAGCCTGCTCTGGGAGAGACCAACCCCAGGCTACCCAGCCCCTTCCTCCCCACTAAGCCAGAATGGTCTTGTCTTGGCTCTAACTGATTCTTCTGCAGTGATGTGAACTCTGGCTGGGGTGAGAAACCACAGAGAAGTTCCAGGAAGGTAGAAGCCCAGTTTCTCTTGCAGAGGAAGGTGGGGGCACATTCTACGTTGACTGGATGGCAGCACAGGGCTGACTTTGGTTCTCAGGACAGGGCTCAGGGTGGCCCAGCCCCCAAGGCAAATTAGCAGTAAACAGAAGGAAGGGAACCTTTTCTCGCTCAGAGGTTGCTGAAAAGGTAAAGGCATCATCTGGAAGTGACCTCCCCCTTCCACAGAGCTCACTCCTGACTGATTAGCTTACCCCCTGCCCCAGTACTACTAAATTGATCAAAGGATGGGGCCAAATGTGACTAAATTTAGTTCACAGTCTGAAAACAATAGAGACTTTCTTTGCGGGCTTCAGACGAAATGGCAGCCAACAGAAATGTGCAAGAGGGCCTCTTTCTATCATTTTTACTATAGTTCATTAAATTTGAGAAGTAGATAGAAAATTACCATGAGAAATGCCCCCAGGCCGGGCATGGTGGCGCACACCTGTAATCCCAGCACTCTGGGAGGATTGGTTGAGTACAGGAGTTCAGGACCAGCCTGGGCAACATAGCAAGTCCCTGTCTCTACAAACAAGAAAGAAAGGAAGAAAGAAACAGCCTCATCTGTTGGACAGTGCTCTGACTTCATTTGTAATATTAACATCAACATAATGATTGAGGGTGGCAAATCTGCTGCTGAAAAACATGCAATGAGGCATGATTTTCTTTTTTTGAGGGGGGTGATCTAGCATTTTGTATCATCCATGCCAGGGCTTCCCTTTTATTAGTGCAGCTATTTCATCCTGAACGTCCACGTCCCACAGGTGAGAAACGCAGCCAAGATCTGGGCCAGGGCAGGCCAGGATGAAGGAATACAAAGACAGCTGGTGGCACCGGCACTGTGTTTCTTCAGACTGGCTTTCCTCAGATCTCGTTCCCCTGTGACATTAGCAAGGATGGGAAATGCTGCTGCAAATGTCTTGGGGCCGGTAGCATTCAGACTGTCTTCTGGGTTCTTCGTCTGGTGGAGGCTGCCGTGGCGAACGGAGCCCGCTCTTGCAGAGAGGGTCTGTCCCTCCTGGATGCATCAATACTGTTTTTGTAAAAGGTTGATGGATTCAAAGAGACTTGTCTATCCTTTACCATCGCTGGCGGATCCCTGAAAGCCATGTGACAGAGCCAGTGCTGTGCTCCAAGGGGAGTTTGTTGAGGAGACACTGATAATGGTGGATGGAGCATGCAAGTCGTCATTGCTGATCGGGCCTCTCCAGAGGGACTGGTGGGGAAGTGGATCTCAGTCCTTTTCCCTGCTTGAGAGGGTGACAGAGTGAGCCGGACCTGTATAGCAGGGAAGGCCCGAGGGGGGTGGGGCAGCACTGCCTCCAGCTCGTGGGCATGGGCGTCCTGGGCTGCTGTGGCCTCACTCGGCCCCTGACGATGTCGCTCACACTGATTGGTTGTGACAGGAGGGAGCTCAGCCCCAGAACGTGGTAATGAGCGCAGTCAGCGGGCAATTTGCATCGATTTCAGTGACTTGGGAGGCGAGCTGCGAGGTCTGGAGCCAGCCACGTGGGACCGGAAAGTAATCGCCGGATGGGGGGCTGATGTGTGGCGTGGGTGGGTGGGGACGAGGTGGATGGAGCAGGATACCCTCCTCGAAGGCTGGGTGCAGGATGGTCACGGTTGCTCATGGCTGTGGTCCCGCCATCCCCAGCCCTCAGACCCCGCCCTGGCTCACCTGGTAGTGGGCCCAGCAGGCCTCCCAGATCCGCAGGGCCTCGGCCTCAGGGAACTCCCGCTTGAAGCATAGCAGGAGCCAGCGGTGGCAGAAGAGCATCTGCAGGCCGTCCTCACCCAGCGATACCAGGTGCTGGTAGAATCGCAGATGTGTCAGTCGCAGCAGCTCCCGCAAATACAGCTGAAGGCGAGGCCAGGATGCATCAGCCCCCAGCCCTCACGTGGCCTTTCTGCCTGCCCAGGAAGCTCACTCCAACTGGGGCCCTTCCTCAGGACACCCCCACCTTGGGAAGCACACAGCGAGGTCTCTGCCTCTATATATGTCTGCCACCTCTTATGTTATTCTGCTAGATCGGGCTCATACCTGTCTTTGCCAGTTTGTTCCAGATTTAAGACTGCCCCAGGGTTGTGGCATGGCCCAGGGCAAGGCAGAGCATTGTACCCTATGGTGGGAGGCTGAGCAAGCCATTCCCCAGCTGGGAAGACTCCTCAGCCTCAGCAGACACTCGGGGGCTGTTTTCAGCGCCCACCCCTCCTGGCAAGGGGAGCCCAAGCATCTGTGGGCCCTGACTCAGTCCCTTTCTGCTCCAATCACCAAGATCCATCATCTCCCAGAGCTGATGTCTGAGCCCCGGGACACCCGATTCCTGTGACTAAGGTCACCGCCCAGTGACGTGCGTGGGACAAGATTAGGGTTATTTCTGGCAGCACCCGAGCTCGGGCCGCTGACTTAACCAATGCCGTTGGAAAATCAATCTCCAACAGTTAATGAGTCATCCGGCTGTGTCCTGCCGTAAGCTGTCAGGGGCGAATGGCGTCAGACCCTGTAATTGCCTCCCAGGCACCGTGGAAACCTGACATCACACCAACGCGGATGACGCAGACAGGGCTTGCTCGGCTGGGTCAGCCCACGGCTGAGGTGGGGTTAGATCGCAGTTAAAGGGGTCCTAAGCAGGGCTCGGGGCCACATGTCCCCTTCCCACACAAGTAGCCCATTGTTCTCACAACAGAGCACTGGAGCCACTACAGCCCTTCATAGAAATGGGTTCTGAGAATCCTTCCTGACTAGCCAGTTCTCTGTCCCGTTGCCCACAGCAGGGTCAAGTCCACACCTGCAGCTGACTCCCTCATGGATGCCCCATTCCCACCCCTCACCAAGTGCCTTTACCACTCAGTTCAGCTTCCCATGGCCTCAAATCCTCTGCTGTGCTCAGCTGTCCTGCTAGTTGCCAGTATGCCCCCACAGTTAGTCTAAAGAACACGCTCTGTGGGCCTGGCCTTCGAGGGCCTCCGCTCAGCTCCACCCTCACTGCATATAACAGGCCTGGTCCAGCAAGACCAAGTCACTCAGTGTCACCACCCAGAATGCTCTGCTCAGTCCAGCCTCGGCGACACTCAGGGCCAGCCCCCACGTGCCCTGGAGCCGGCCCCCATGCAGAGCCTTCTGTCTAGCATGAGCACCCTCTGCATCCCTCCCCCAGCGCCAGCTTCCTCTGCTCAGACTGCCAGTTCAGGGCCCTCCTGCCTCCCAGGGATCTTCTGTATTGCTCTCCTGGCATCCCGGGGAGCTTCTGCTCGCACTGCCAGCTTCCAGGCCCAGCTTTCTCCCAGTGCTCACGATGGCACCCGGCATCCAGGCCCACATCCCAGTGCTCATGATGGCACCTGGCAGGTGCTTGGTACAGACAGGTGATACAAGGTGAGAACAGTGAATGGAGTGCCTGGCTCAACCTAGCTGGGCTTGGCCCCTCCGCCAACATTCAGTGCTGCCTGGTCTACGTGAGGCTGATCCAGCTGGCACTCCAGGAAAGGCCAGTTGTCCTCGGGATGGGAGGTGGAAACTTCCCCAGGGGGTCTCAGGGTGGCATCAGGAGCCCCTCCTGTTCCAGTCCCCACTTGGGAGCCTCGGTGGTATTGGCCTTCTGTTGAGAGCTGCCCAGACACACCTGAGAACCCATTTGACAAAGCACAGGGTCAGCTGTGATGGGATCGCCCCTTCCTTGCCCTGCCAGGAAGCCTGGGCTGGGCTGTAACATGCAGGCAGGTGGGAGGTCGCGGGCAAGGGACCTCCATGGGGAGTGTGAGTGGCACTCTCTCCAAAGACCGGGAAGTGGCATCTCTCCTAGAAGCAGCTGGCCCTTTCCTGGCTGCCAGGGCTAAGACCCCCATATCCCATCAGCAACTCCTGTCCTGTCGTTTCTGCTGCTCACTGAACCACAGCGGCCAAGCCAGAGACCTCGGCAGTAGGAGGAGGGGGCGGCGCGAGCTGTCTCGGTCCCTTCAACACGCAGTCATCCCCCTGAGTCTCACCAGCTGTTTCTCCATGTCCTCATCTCGAGGAGAGCTGACGAAGATCGTGTTCTGCATCAAACCAACAAAGCACCAGAAGGTATCCGACTCGTCCAGGACCTCAGCCAGGATGGGCGCCACCAGGTCTGACATGCCCTGGGAGTAGCCAACGGCCGGGTTGTACACAGCATAGTTCAGCAGAATCCTCCTGGCCAGGCAGTGGAGACAACAGAGGGTGATGGCCCGCAGAAACCCAGGCTGGAGACCCTGGCTGCCTGCCCCTTGCCTTGATCTTGTGGTCGGGGAGGTAGCTCAGAGCCGAAGCTCAGGTTCCAGACACACAGACCCTCACTTTGCAAAAGGGCGTGAGGAAGAACACAGACCCTCGAGAGCAGGGGGAGAGCAGGACGCGGGCCTGCCTTTAAGGGTTGACTGCCTGTGACAAAGGGTGGGCTGGCAGGGACATGTTTATGGGCTGCTAATTTGGGGGCAGTTATTTGCTAGGTGGCAGCAGAATGTCAGAGATGCCAGCCTCTGGCTCTGTGTGGCTTTATCATTAAGGGACCACCCACGGGGAGATGGAGGGGACTCACGGGAGGCTCTTCCATGATTGGTGTGAGCCACGGAATAGAGGGGCTTTGCTGGCACCTTTGGGAGGGCCCCATGTGGTTCCCCAAGGATGCTCCGGTCATGAGATGCCAATCAAAGCGGCTCATGAATAGCTTATCTTCCACTTCTGGGCCTTGATATATGAACCTGGAAGAAGCCCCTGCAGAAAGTCGCTGAGGGGCCTGTCTACTTCCCAGTAGGTCAACAGAGGCCCTGGGGGATCAGGTGAGGCTCGAAGTCTTGCAGGTGGGGAAGCTTGCTGGCCTGGGAGGGAGTACCTCATGCTTTCCACATTCGGATTGTCTTCGCCTCGGAAGAACTGGTTGCTCCGGTCCGTGCGCACCACGTCTTTGTCCACAGTGAACTGCACATTGCGCCAGAAGGCTGTGTGCTCGTCTGGAGTCATGGAGAGCCTGTGTGGAATAGAGCACCCACCCAGTGTGGTCAGTGAACAGCACACATACTGCAGGAAGGGGCCTTCCCTTCAACCTCTGTCCCCTGGATGGGAATGGGTGTGGCTGTCGCTGGCAGCCACAGGCTTCCCACCCCTAACATGAGTGGGTGGTATGTGCCCAAGCCCTTCCCCTGACACTGACTCGGTCTTCCAGGCCCCAGTATCCCAGAGAGGCCAGCAGGCTGCAGCCCAGTGGGTACTGAGGCCTTAGCCCCAGCCCAGCATCCTGGATGGGAGCTGAGCACAGCCCAGGAAGAGGAGCTGGCCACAGTGCCAGACCCCAGCCCCAGGCTAGTGGAGCCTAAGGGGACCGGGCGGTCCCAACTGACTCCCTTTGCCCCTCGAGGCCCCGTTCCCAGCCTGGCCTGCAGCAGCTGGGCCTCAGCGCCTAGTTAAGTCTGCTGAACAAGGCTCCTAAAACCTTGACATGTGAGCTAACGAGCGCCGCAGTTCCGAGGCCCGAGTGCTTGGCATAATGACTGCACTTACCCTGCCCTACCGCTCACGTTCCTGGGAGACCCATTTTCCAAAGAAACTATGGGTCACGAAACATATTATCAATGCTGAATTGCACCTCAAATTGCCTTTTCAAATGACATTTTCCTCCGCGGCTCGGTGGGGTGGGCCGGGCCGGTCCCGGCGTTACCTTTTCTGCTGGATCTCTGCGTATTCCTTTCGCTTCTGCAGCCGCAGCGCCTCCCGCTCCTCGGACGTGGACTCGTGGCTGTAATAGCGCAGCAGGAAGGGCCAGACCTCCCCCCGGATTGACACATCAATGCCGCCAAAGAAAATGGCCTGGAGGAAGCGGCAGAAGTTGGGGAGGGGATAAAATAGGGCGGCTCAAAGAAACCCCCGGTCCCCAGAGATGTGTGTTTTGGTGGCTTTGGTGTGCCTGGATTCAGATCTCTGCAATTTGCACATGTTTACAAGGGGAAAGCACTGGCCCTCAATTCCCATACAGGACACAAACCCGGCTCATTTCAATGTCAATGCCCCCCCTGGGGTGGCGTTCAGATTAACGTGTCGTTCTCACGTCATGGCCTAATCCCTGGTTTTGGAAATGTTGCATTTCACTGCAAACCCTTCTATGCAGGCTGACATGGTATCCCCCAAACCCGCTCCGGAGTTGTTGTTTTTTTCCCCCTTTTTCAAGGCAGCAGCTTTGATTGCTTTATCGGCGTGTTCACATGGAACCTCACACAAGGGAACAGGACCCTCCAGAGGAGGTGGCCTGTGGGTGCAGGCTGGCAGCCAGGCCCCGGCCCTCCTGCCTGCTAGCTAGCTCCTGGTTCCCGGCCGGTCCTCACCTTCCGAAGCTTGTACTCCTCTTCCACCTGGCCCAGCTCGTTCAGGTGGTTGAGCCAGGCGGAGACATCCAGCCTCTTGTACATGCTCTCCTCGGGGTGCGTCTCGGAGGACGGCAGCTTGGGGCGTCGGATGGAGAACTGCATGCACGTCTTTTCAGGGGCGACCTGCCGGACGGGAGGAAAATTGGGCAAAGGTGAGTGTCTCAAACGCCCGTGGCTTCGGGAGCCAGGGACGATTTTCCCAGGATTTAAAAGCCTCGCTCTCTTCTGAAAGGAGGGGACGGGGCTGTCCCTGCATACAAACCCCTAAATGGCAAGTGTAATTAGGCGCAATTAAAATGAAAATACCTTCATCTTAAAATCGGTTTCCCTTCGCTGCTCCCTCCTACCCGGCCCACTGGGACACCGCCCCCACTCCCTCCCCGACCCCAGCCGCAAAAAAAAAAAAAACGGAATTAATGCCTCATTCGGCCTAACTTCCCTTTGCCGGGAGGGTCTGCAATAAATTACATGTGATTGGCCACATACAAAGGGATCGCTGTTCTGCGAGCAGGGAGCCAGCCTGTCAGATTGTCTCCGCGAGCAGTCACGAATCCAGGGCAAAACTGCAGCTGACATTTAATTCAAAAATCAAAGGTTGTTCAATGTAGGGGGAAAAAAAAGCCATGCTACTGTAATAAGGGAAGCCAGCAGGAGGCTCTGTGGGAAGGAAGGGAATTTTAAAGTCAGCCCCGTTCCTAATAAGCACATACAGTATCTTAAACAGATAATTAAAGAGCTCTTATTACATTTGTATGTAGATTGAGCAAAATATGGCAGGAAATCCTGTCAAAACATGATTTTTCAAGTGCACAGCACTGACTTTACAAAAACCCCTGGGCACATGTCTCAAACCCAAAGTTGCTGCTCTGTCAGCCACCCAGACACCACAGGTCACACCCTGTGAGCCCTCAGATCCAGAGACCCCAGACACAGGACCCAGGAGGAGAGAGACCCGCTGGAGAGGTGCAGGGCCTCCAGGGGGCCTGCGGGGAGCGTCAGCAGCCTGGTGTCTTCTGGCGTGGGGACTCCAGCCCTACCCCCTGGGGCAGCACCAGTGTTTGAGGGGCTACCTGATCTTTGAGGTGCGTCTCGGTGCAGTATTTCCACTGCTGAAACACATCCGACAGCTTGTCCAGGCCACCGTGGTGGAAGTGGAAAACCTTGTATTGGCTCTCCCGACTGGCGACGACCAGCTGACCGCTGGTGCAGGCCTCATCGCTGAAGAGCCATTGGAGGGGGAAGAGAAAAGCCCCATTTATATGCAAACACGGGTCTTTATTTCCAAGTATAATCAGAGGCCACTGTCCCCGACCTCAGAGGCAGGAAACAGTGAGTCCGCGTGGGGTTTGGCCGGTGGTGCGAGGGGACAGAATTGCACCCAAACAAAAACCATCACCCACTTTGCTGATGAAGGTAAAACAGTTTTCTCCTCGGGAACCCTGTCGCTCCTCTCTGGAGACCTGCTAGAGCACCCTTCTCTCCACCACCCTCTGCCTGACCCCACGGGCCGTGCTGTCTAGGGGATCCGGGGGTGGATGTGGGTGCCTGTGTTAGCTGGAATCTGGTTTTGAGCCACGGCGGGACCGATGCTAAGAGAACCTCACGGAGGTTCTCCAACTTGTGTTGGTGGCTTGCTGGGAGAACCCTCCTGGGAAACTCAATCAACATCCATAAGTCAGGCCAGCCCTGGATGCCCTGGGAGGAAAGACTGAAACGTGGCCCTGGGCCTGGGAGTGGCTCTGGACTCATCAGTTGTTTGACCCGACTGATACATATGGGATGTGTCTGTTTTCAGGGTTGCCCTGACTATAAGGAGATGAGATCTGATGCAAGAAATACGGGCAGGAAGCTAGGGACAGCCCACTCATCACAAAAGATGACAGCCTCCCACCAGAAAGCCATGGCCTGGCCCGCACACGACTGGTTGAGCTGCGAGCGTCTCACCAGTGATCAGAGCGGTTTCCCGCTGCTACTGTCTGCAGTCACCCTGGTTTGGTTTCTTCCCCCAAGCCAGAGTCCCAAGCAATGGCTGCCTACCATCACCCTGCAGGTGGAGGAGTCCCAAGCAATGGCTGCCTACCATCACCCTGCAGGTGGAGGAGGGAGTTGGGTAGCTCCCCGGGGCCAATTACTGTGGGGTGGCCACAGTGGAAACTGCTGCTGATTGGCTCAGCGAGGGAGGTGGCAGAGGTCTAGGAAGACCAACACTGGCCAGACCAGCCAGGGCCCGCATCCGGGGGCCCGACCAAAACCCCGCTGGGAAGACCTCATAGGTCGCTCCCAGGAAGCGCCGGGAGATGCTTCTCACCTGAAGAAAAGGCGGAGAGAGCGCATGTGTCCCAGGTCCACGCGAAACACACCGCAGATCTGCTCCAGGGCGCACACCCGCTGTGGCTCGTCCCAGCGTGGGGTCTGCAGAAGGCCGTTGCTGTCCGGGAACCGCAGGCTGGCGTCTGAGCTGGTGGGGGGGCTGGTGGAGCAAGTCATGTGATGGCCACACATCTCTCGGCCTCGCCAGTGGGAGGGGAGGGTTGGGGGGCCCGGTTGGGGAGCCGTAGAGTCGTGGGGGGGTGTGTGGATATGAAGCCATTTAAACATACGCGGTGCCTGTAATTCCAGCACTTTGGGAGGCCGAGGCCAGTGGATTGCCTGAGCCCATGGGTTCGAGACCAGCCCGGACAACTTGGCAAGACCTCGTCTCTACAATAAATTTTAAAAATTAGCCAAGTGTGGTAGTGCGCGCCTGTAATTTTGGTTACTCAGAAGGCTGAGGTGGAAGGATCGCCGGAGCCCAGCAGGTTGACGCTGGGGTGGCCGTGAGCGTGCCACTGCACTCTAGCCTGGGTGATGGAGTGAGACTCCAACTCAAAAAAATAAATAAATAAACATACACGGCAAGCTTAAACACACCCTGACAGACACGACTGAAATGCCAGGCATAGCGAGCTCCCATAAACACCTATAAATGAACGAGTGAATGTGTCCCATTGCTAGTCACCCACAGTTATACTTCAACTTGGACAGGAAAGCACCTTCACGATCAGATTCCATTCCACTTCCACAGAGGCAGTCAGCCATTGTAATGACAGTCAAGGTCACACTGACAGGGGTTTCTCGATGTGTGACTTTAGCCAACTTACCAAGCCTCTCTGAGCCTTTGCTTCCTCTTGGATAAAGTAAGGATAATACAAGGCTTTGTTTACTTAAGAGTGTGGGGCCTGGTCCTCTGGGTTTATTTGCTAAGGGTAGCTATTTTGTGACCATTTTAGATAGAATGGGGCTTCTGCTTTGGCTAAACTGGTTCACAATGTTCCTGAAAAAATATTGGTTCAGTTTATGGTTCGATGAGGAAACATTTGGGTTATGAATACTATTAATAATGATAGTGCACATTTATTAAAACAGTAAGGGCCAGGTCCTGGGTTAATGACGTCCCATGTGTTTCTATTACATATAATCCTCACAAAATCCTATGAAATTAGTAGTGGTATTACCCCCATTGTACAGAAGAGGAAACTGAGGCTCAGAAAGGCTAAGTAACTTGCCCAAGGTCCTACTGCTAGCAGGTGGTGAGACTGAGATTAAAATCCAAGCTTTGGGGGCTTATGTTCTCACCAGCACATTTTACAGCCTCTAAATTCGGCAATACAACCCCATTTATTCTGCTATTTTTTTTTAATATTCGTAAGTTTGTTACATTCCCCATGCAAACTATTTTGTTACATGGATTCAGCCACACCACAGGTTAAATCCTGTCTCTTGAGGTTTAACAGTCTAGCAAATGTCTGCTCAAATGTAATCTGAGTCAAGGCAAGAGTGAGTTTGGACTCCCATGGTGGTGCCCTCCAGAGATGCGGCTGCACTCTCTCCACCTGCTGTCCTGATGATCCCATAATATAAAAGTGTCAGAGGTGATTAATCTAGAGGTGCATCTTTCTGGAGTGGGCATCAGTTCTCGATAAAGCTCCTTTGGATGGCTCAAACACAGTCCCTCCTAACTTGGAACCTCCTCAGAAAGAAAAACTGGCCTTTTAGGCTGGGCACGGTGGCTCACACCTGTAATCCCAGCACTTTGGGAGGCCGAGGTGGGAGGATCACTTGAGACCAGGAGTTCAAGATTAGTCTGGGCAACATAGTGAAGTATCATCTCTACAAAATAAAATAAAATAACCAGCTGGGAGTGGTGGCGTGTGCCTGTAATTCTAGCTACTTGGAAGGCTGAGGCAGAAGAATCACCTGAGTCCAGGAGGTCGAGGTTGCGGTGAGCACTGATTGTGCTGCTACACTCCAGCCTGGGCAACAGAGTGAGAACTCATATTTAAAAAAAAAAAAAGAAGCCGGGCTCGGTGGCTCAGCCTGTAATCCCAGCACTTTGGGAGGCTGAGGTGAGTGGATTGCCTGAGCCCACAGGTTCGAGACCCGCCTGGGCAACTTGGTGAGACCTCATCTCTACAATAAATCAAAAAATTAGCTGGGCGTGGTAGCGCGCGCCTGTAGTTCCAGCTACTTGGAAGGCTGAAGCGGAGGGATCGCCAGCGCCCAGCAGGTCGAGGCTGCGGTGGCTGGAGCGGCCACTGCACTCCAGTCTGGGTGACAGAGTGAGACTCCAACTCACAAAACAAACAAACAAACAAACAAAAAAAGACTGGTCTTTTTAGGACCCTTTGCTGCTTTGGGAACAACACAGGGCCTGTGTGTGGCTCATGGCTTTTCTTCCCTGCCTGTCTAAGGAAATCATTTGAGCCAGGTCCTACCCTTGCTGGGGGTACCTGGACCGTCAGAGGATGCAGAAGCAGGTAAAACTAGACACAAACAAGCAGGTGGGTAGGCAATGTGAACTGTTGCAGCTCAGCAACGAACGAGGCTCCCAGAAAGCTGAGGATTCGCCCACGTCTTCGCAGGGAGTCCCCGACCAGGTTGCACTAGGAAACCACAGTTTAAAACACGAGGCAGGACGCAGGTGTGAGGACAGCCCAGCCACAATCACTTTATACCACCACTCATAGTCTGCTTATGAACCCAGGGGCCCATGGCGGCTCAGGGAGCCTGTGCTCAGTGTGCAACCCAGGGAGAGGGGCCACCAAAGGGTGACATCGTCTCCAGCCTCCTCTCCTGTCCTTACCACACCGAAGACACCCAGATGGATCTTAAAAAGCTCCCAGCAGGCTGGGCACGGTGGCTTAGTCTGTAATCCCAGCACTTGGGAGGCCGAGGCGAGAGGATTGCCTGAGCCGGTGGGTTTGAGACCAGCCGGGGCAACTTGGTGAGACCTTGTCTCTACAATAAATCACAAAAACTAGCCCGACATGGTGGTGAGCGTTTGTAGTTCTAGTTACTTGCAAGGCTGAGGCAGAAGGATCACCTAAGTCCAGCAGGTGGAGGCTGCAGTGGCCGTGAGCGTGCCTCTGCCTTCCAGCCTGGGTAACAAGAGTGAGACTCCAACTCAAAAAAAAAAGCTCCCAGCACCCTGCGTCCTGCTCACTCTATCAGGCTGGTCGAGGTTTCCAGAAACTAGATAGAAGATGGAAGCTCACTTTGGCAGTGTCCTGGGCTGAAGTTCCCTTTCCACCCCC